AAAAAAAAAAAAAGAAAGAAAAAGAAAAAAAGGAAAAACCATGCCACCCACTCACATGCCCTAGTGGGAAACCAGGAAAAATTCCTTTGTGTAAACAGAAGCATTAGGGAGCAGCAAAATTCCCAGCCTGTCCACAGGACATGCTAGAATCTGGGATGAGTCAAAGGACAGTCCAGTCCAAAGGAAGGGAAGATGCATTTGCAGGAAAGAGTGCAGGACAGTGCAGAGAAGGGAGCCTGCAGCAAGAAAAAGGTATTTTCTGCACAGAGGAAGGATAGAGCCCGAGCTCCACCTTGGGGAGACCACCACCCCTTACCTAGCCAGGCCAGAAGACAACTCAGGTACACAGTTCCTTCTGATGGCTCAATGTTTCCGGGATGTAAACTCATCAGGCATGGGAGCGATTTCCAGATTTTGGCAATAGACTCAAGTTGTGGTATAAAAATAACATTTAGTTTTCTTTTTCTTATTTTAAACCTAAGGATCTTCTGTTATAAGACACCCCATTTAAGAAATATTGAAACACAAGAAACTTGACCATCAGGGGGAAAAAAAAGAAGCCAAGAGTGAGAAATGCTATGAAAGTAACTCTAGACCAGGGCAGGGTGGCAGGTATGGGGAAAAAAGAGGCAAAAGTGGAAAGGCCAAGGGCCAGTCATCTCAGCAGCTCCGAGACTTGTCACGTCTGAAAGTGCAAATGTCAATGGATTTTAACCATCTTGAGGTTGTAATCTTTTCCAAAGCTCAATGAATGTGGAAGTCAATTCCTTTAAATGCAAAATAGCTGGCATTCTGGCTGGAGGCTTGTTGTGTTCAGGATATTTCTTCCCCACCTACCTCCTCTCCCACCCCCACCCCATCCCCCAAAGAAAGGTACAAAAGGTTGCAGTTCTGCAGCATTACCATTACAGGGAAGGCACTGGTTACCCACCAGCAGGCGGAAGGAAGACAGGGTCGTGTCACTTCAGAGCTAAGTGCCATAGTGCCTTAAGTGTTGCTAGGAGGGCTGGATGACTGTCAGGAAGGAGGCATAGGGTGGGGTAGAAAATGTGGAGAGGAATAAGGGTGGTGGGTGGGGGTGGCAGCTGGGGAGGAGCAACCAAAAAAACTATTAGCATTAAAAATCTTCCTACAAACTGGATTCTGAACCCATGAAAACATCTAGTATCCTAAAATATTGATCTGGGTCTGGTTTCATTTTTCTTTTTAGACAAATCTAGACCTTTTTTGATTAAGGCTCCTAAAAAAAAAAATCCTTCCCTCCTCCCACCCACTTTCTCAAGCCCTTTACTTTTCCAACTAAAGTAGCAAACCCAAACCTACCAGCTTTTGTCCGCAGGGCTGCAGAGCCGACCTTACCAAGCTGTCAAGCATGAGTCTTTAGTTAGCACTGTGAGTCACATGAGACACCTGTGTGTATGGTGGGCACCAGTGCTGCCCCTCTTGGTCCAGTGGGGTCAGGGCCAGATGTGACGAGATGAGGTGAGGGGTGGGGAGCATGAGGTTAATATCAGAGATTCTGGCTGGTGGTCTGTCTTGCTGGCCCTATTCCCCACCGTTACACCCCCTCTGTAGAAAGAAACAAGGCCTCCTACACTCCTCCCTACCCCACCTCCCTCCTCCTTGCTTCCTCTGGATTTGGGCGGCACAGCTCCTGGGGCTTGGAAAGCTTTCTTCTATCCAGTGAGGTAACAGCGTTCTGCCTTCAAGCGAAGTACATGGTGCGCAGAGTATCCTGGTGAACCTGCACGGCTTTGGCCAGGGCCTGGGGGTCCCGCCCATTGCTCTGCCCCGATATGTGGCTCCCCTCTCCACTGAAAAGGAAAAAAATGAAAGAAGTTCTTTCTGGTAAACTGAGCTACTGCTAATTCCCTCACCCATTCCTCGTGATGGTATGCCAATATCCATGCCAACATTAAGAGAAAACCCCAATCCGGCACTGGGCAGATGGGCTCAAGGACACCAAATTGAGTAGCATCCACTTCCTTCTACCCAAGGAAAGTTAGGAGAGTCTGAACAGGCTGAAGCAAAAAGGAAGCCAGGCTGATCCCAGGCCTCACCTGTCATGCTCCTTGTCCACCAGGTGGTATCGTGCCCGGAAAGCCACTAGGCGGGCATAGTAGGCTGGTGCTGGGATAGAGACGGAACGTGTGCATCGTACATAAGTGTGGCACAGCTGGTATGTCAATATCTGAAGCTCATCCGCTGTGAAACGGTTGTCATCCCAAAGGACATAGTAATGGGATGGTCGGCTGGTACCCTAGGAAGATAAGAAGGTGAGGGGTCCTAGGTTGGGCAGAGAGGTTGGCTGATAATAAAGACAGAATCACTACTAAGAATATGGCTAGGCTGGATGACCCACCCATGAACAGAGACAGAAAACCACCAGTGTCATAAAGCAAACTTTTATGGGCAATTTGCAAGTATACTCAGGGTTTATTAAGAAGGCAATCCTGGAGCTGCGGTTGTTGCTCAATGGGAGAACGCTTGACTAGCATGTGTGAGGCACTGGGTTCAATCCTCAGCACCACATAAAAATAAATAAAAAATTTTTTAAAAAATTACTGTATCCATCTACAAAAAGAAAAAAAAAAAAAAAAGAAAGAAATCCTGATTTGAATACCACTCAGTTGATAACTCACATATTCTAGAGGCAGTAGGAATCACCAACTAATCTTTGACCCAGTGGAAACCCCAGGGCATAACCCAGCTACCTGGATGCCTGCATGGCTGCACAGATAGAAGTCAAACTCAAATGGGTGGGTGATGTTGGTGTCCACAGTGGTCCCAGCTGGGATGTTACCACTCTTCCCAATCTGTGTAGAGAGAAACACAACCAAGATCCCAAGACCTGCTTGGCTCTAACAAAGGCCTTGGCTGAATTCTACTCTGACTCCACCAGAACCCCAAAAGCAAGACAGAAATTACTGTTCCCAGAGGGTACTAGGTCTTGAAATAATAGGCTTCTAAAATCAAACAGAATTGTGTTCAAGTCCTGATTTTGCCATTTATTACCTGTGTAATCTTAGCTTTTTAAGATTTTTAACCTTTCTGAGGTTAAACTGGAGATAATAATAGTACCTACCTCACAGGGTTGCTGTGAGGAAGACGCCTTGTACAGTATCTGGCACATAGGAGAAGTTCAATAAATGGTTGTTCCCTTTCCTTTCTCTGGGAGTTGTTCTATATATGGGGTCTAGGCCAGGGAGCTAGGAGGAGGGAGAGGAAGTATAAGGGAAGGAGGGGAGAAGGAGGACACTAAAGGAAAAAGGTGGTACAGATGGACCACAAGAGTCAGGGGGAAGGAATGAGCCAGGGAGATGCACAGGACAAGGACTAAATTCCCAGATTTCATCTCAAGGGCTTCTTCCTTATCAAGACAAGGGAGACAGGATAAGGGTATGAGTGGTCTCCTCAATTCCTCACTCACTCGCTCATTCTTGTCAGCACAAAAAAGGCGGGTGTGATGGCGTTTCTGCACCACAATGTAAGTGATCCCAGGCTGGTAGTCCTTTTCCAGTTTGATGCAGGCATCGCGAATGGCCAGTAGCTCATAGTGGAGGATCTAGGCACAGGGTGAGGAGGGAGACAAAGATATACAACTCCTCTTGAGTTCATATGCTTTCCTGAATTAAAAGACTGTCATCTATAATAGGGCTTTTTGCTCAGCCTCCCTTTATAAACAGATGCTTATCAATTAAGAGATAATAGGCTTTTCCTGCCAAAAATCAGCCTTATACTCAGTTCACCTGATATGTTTCAATAACACCTTGACTAGGAAGAGAGTACCCTCCTGGTTCCCAAGCATAAAGAGACCCAACATCAAGACACAAAATCAAAGTTCACAGAGCAATCACTAAAATCCCAATGTTCAAAGTTAGGTCGACTTCAGGATCAAGAAGATACTGGGAATTCCCCTGTGAGCTCCAAGAGTAGATAGGGTTTGGACCACCAGAGAAAAGCAGACATACAAGTTCCTGAATAGGTGCAGGGGGTGTAGATGAATCCAATCCCATAAAGATGTAAGATTATAAGAAAATGAATGAGCTAATGAAGTCATCACAGTGTAAAAATCATAGACAATAGTTACCTGTGATCATAGACGTCAGAAATAGGAAGTGAAAACTATATGGAAGGGGTTGGGAGTATAACTCAGTGGTAGAGCACAAGCTTAGTATGCCCAAGGTCTTTGATCCAATCCCCAACAGCAACCCCCCAACACACATACATGTACACATACACACACATGACTGTACAGTAGAAAAGGAAAGACCTTGGAAACAACTAGAACTAGGCTTAAACCCAAGCTTCATATAGTTGTATCACCTTCAGCAAGTTATATAACCCTTCTAAATCTCACTTTCACTATATCCATTAATGTTACTAATAAGAATTACAAAGCCATTGTGAAGACTAAGAAGTTAAATAAAAGCCTAAAAAGCAGTATGGATTAATAACTGCTGATAATTTTGCTAATCAGTTGAATCTTAACTCATAGCTTTGTGAAGCTACTAGAGATTTCTGAATACAGAAGTGATATGATAAGTTTGTCTGGCATTTAGGAAATAATGGATGACTTGGAGAAATTGAGTGCAATGTTTAAGAGAATGGACTTCAGAATAAGAACAATGTGTCCGAATCCCAATACTACTTATCAGCTTGAGTGACAATGAAGACTCATTTAACATTTCCAAACCTGTTTCCTCATCTGTCAAATGGCAATGATAAAATTATTATTTCTCCTTGGCAACTGTAAGCATTAAATAGAACATACTTAAAGTGCTACAGCACAGTTAGTTCACAGCATAAGATGTGCCCAATAAACTATAGTCATAATACTATCAAATGGTAGTTAAGGGCTGGGGATATAATTCAGTGGTAGAGCACTTGCATACCATGTACAAAGCCCTGGGTTTGATCCTCAATAACACATATGCACACACAAAGGTAATTAAGAAAACAGTATACTAGTCTAAGCAATAGAATATGAGGGTTGGCAGTGAGAATAAATAGGAGTAACATTATGAAAAAAGGTCAACAATATGGTTCTCAAGTGTGGTCTCTAGTCCAGTACCAAAATCCAGGAACCTGTCAGTTTGACAGATTCTAGGATTGCATCCTAGACTCATTGAAACAGAAATTGCAAGGGTAGAGCCACAAACTGTTTAAACAGTTCCTCCAGGTTACGTTGATATATTTGAGAATCATTGGTCTGAGGGAGGGAGGGAGAGGAATGAGAAAGACTGATCTAAAGCAGTCTCCAATATGAACCAACCAGTAAACAGGCATCAAGGGCTTTCTGTTGTAAGAAGAAAAGTCTATAGATGCTTAATACTCACCTTTCAGTTGTGATCCTTGCCTATAAGCCTACCCCATTTAGAGAAGCTCCTGAAGAACTGGCACATCTCCCAGAGCCAACAGCTTAGAAAAGCACCTAGCCCTCTGGCCTCAACATGGGCCCTACCTGGGGAAGCTGGCCTTCTGGGACCCCATCTCGATAGAAGATGATGCGCGTCGGCTTGAAGCGGGTAGACTTGTAGAATTGGATGAGCAGCTCACGCACCATGTAGGACAAGTCTTCAATGATCTCCTGCCGTGGTCGCTGTACCCGCACAGTAGCACAGTATCGGCTGGGGTGGGCATCCATACTGCCTACTACCTGACAATCAAAAAGAAAGGATCAGCCACCAATATATCACCTTCCCTGTCAGAATGTGGGTTTGAGGAAAGGCTTTTTAGCGAAAAAACTGTGCAACCAAATGAGCAGGGTCTTGGATTCAAAAAGTCTGTTCTACTGTACTTTCAGAATTTACTTAATCCTTCTGATAAGAATACTTGCTTTCAATGGTGGTGTGGTACCTATAAAGCATTGTGCACAAGGCCTGGCACTATCCCTTGCGGAAGAACATGTGAAGATTTGGCACTACTAACTCAATGACTCATCCAGGGCAAGTTTATCCTTTTCTCCATTTAATTAGTAATCCACCCAGGAACCATGACCATCTTGTAGTTGATGGAAGTATGTCAATTTCAAAAGGGAGAATGACCATAGCCTAAGAGGGATGGCCACAAGCAAATCAGAATAAGCATATTATAGGTTTTGTCTGCCTTACCAAATTAAGACAAATCTACCTAGAGAAATAAGAAAGCTGAAGAAATAGAAGTATGAAGTAATTGCTGATCCCTAGCAATTTGGAAGGCCCTAAGAGACAGGGAGCCAAAAAATCAGAAGAGGCATTAGAGAGACATCTAATCAACTAGACAGATTAAGGGTGGGGATGGAGCAGAGGAAAGGACAATCCCAGGAACTAAGTAACTCCCTTAAGAGGGATTTCAGAGAAGATATATACTTCCCCATATCCTAAAAGCAAGTGTGGAAAGAGAAAAGTTCAAATGCAGAGTAAGTGTGATGGGAGACTGGCTACAGTTTCTGTCCTTAGGCTGTATTCTCACTAATCTTTCCCCAAAAAAAGATTACGCAGAGCTTTAAGGGTAAAGGGGATGGTGAGCTGCAGGGTCTTACCCAGGGTCAAGAAGAGCCTGGGCTGAGGGAAGGAAATCATGCACAGTCTTGAGGGCTCAGAGTTAAGAGGAGAACCTTATGAGGAAGCTGAAGCATATTACTCACTGCTGTGATAGAAGGTTTTTTCCCATCCCCTGCTGGGGGGTGTGTAACATCTGCTCCTAGGAATATCACTGGCTGTTGAAAGACAGCAGAGCTGAGCAAAGAAGAGAAAACAAAATGGTGAGGAATTGGATCTTCTCTGCCTAGCACCATCTAGCACTCACTCTGTTCTTCTCCCTCTTAAGTCTGATTCACTCTGCCTGGCCAAGGGCCTGTCTGTTCATTAATCCCCAGCAAGGTACCTCTACAAGATCAAATGGTCAACAGAGTTCATACCGCTGGTGTGGGACTAGGATGTTGTTAATGCCACCAAGTTTGACATTGATCTTGAGGCAGAGGTTGGATAGAGTCTGAGGCGAGGTCTTGACCACGTTCTTCACCTGCACACACTGTGTTGCCATTCCCAAAAGAGTATCTCCAACTCGTTTCACCTCAGCTACAGGAAGGGAGAGAAATGATTAACATATTTAACAAGTATTTACTGAATGCCTACTGAATGCTAGGTAGTGTTATGAAGTGTTAAGGAACATAATAGTGACCAGAAAACATATCATAAACACTGCTCTTACAATGCTTACTTTGTGACTAATTTTAAAAACCATGAAAATTCTAACACTGGTAAATGCTACAACAGAAAACCACGTGGAGCTATGCGAGAACATAATAGGGGGTAATACACTAGTCAGAAAAATATTCTTGAGTAAGAAATGATGAAAATGAAATCTGAAGGCAGCAAAGGGCTTAAAGGAGGGATTTGAAAGGAAACATTTCAGGCAAAGGAAACATGTACTCTGCTAGGAGATAGATAGTATGATATATTTAAGAAATTGAAAGGCCATATTGGCTAAAAAGGAGAGGCACGGGACCATGCTGTAACAGAAAAAAATGTGGTAATTAGGCTAATCTATGGAAAAGATGAGGGTGGCTTAGATTAACCCATTATGTCCCATCATCCCATTTATGAAACGAAAAACTTAAATTGAAAGCTGGAGTTGTGGCTCAGAGGTAGAGCACTTGCCTAGCATGCGTGAGGCACTGGGTTAGATACTCAGCACCACATAAAAATAAACAAAGGTATTGTGTCCACCTACAACTGAAGTAAATAAATAAATGTTTAAAAAAAAACCCTCATATTGAGCAAACAATGTATCATGGTAACTTTGAAATAAATATTTCTAGAGTTCTATTCTTTTGAGAAAAGTAGTAAATGAATGATTAGTGATAATATTCATTAATGTTATTGTAATTAATACTAAATAATAAATTATATGAGAACTAGATTATGTTTTCCAACCTATTTTAATGTACATGTGATAATTTCATTGAAATATTCTCAGAATTGAAAATTTGGGACTGAGTGGGTTAAGAATAAAGTCAAGGAGCTGAAGACATAGTTCAGTAGTAAAGCTTGTGCTTAGCATGCACTGGGCCCTGGGTTCAATCTCCAACACTGCCCATCCCTCAACAAAAAACAACTTTTAAAATTAAAAAAAAAAAATCAAAGTTGAGTTGTTGAGATGGAAACAAATAGATTCAGAAGATATTTGATTTTAGGAACTCAGTTATAGACAAGAAGCATGAGAAAAAGAAGAGATTTTTATGGATAAATTTTAAGTTTCTAGCTTTTCTAACAAATTCTTTAAGAAACATGTTTAGTTTGAAGTGCTTTTTGTCATCCCACTAAGGTTATCAACTAGGCAAATGGACATACGGGTTGGAAGCTCAAAAGAAATTTCTGCAATATTTAAGTACAGGCAGTAATTGAAGGCATGATCTTGATGAGATCACTAAGGAAGATAGAGTGAAAAGAGGGCTTAGATCTGAATCTTGAGAAACTCCAAGTATTTGCAGAACAGGAAGATGGGTCTGCAAGGAGCAAAACTCCAAAGAGCTATAAGGAAGAAAAAGACAGTGTTGCATGGTGAACACCAAGGGAAGACAGTATTTCAAGAAGGAGCAAGTGAACAAGAAAGTCAAATGCAAACCAGGTGTAGCAGCCCACGTCTGTAATCCCAGGAACTCTTGAGGCTGAGGCAGGAGGATCTCAAGTTCAGGATCAGCTTCAGCAACATAGTGAGACCCTAAGCAACTTAGTGAGACCCTGTCTAAAACTTAAAAAAATAAAACAAAACAGGGCTGGGGAAGTGGCTAAGCTCCCCTCAGTTCAATCCCCAATACCAAAAAGAACAAAAATAAAAGTCAAATGTATCTAAGAAAGTGGTAAAATGATGATCAGAAATGTCCTTTGGAGTTAATGATATCAAAGGAAAAAAACTAGTATTTTAAAGACTTGATCAGGTACTTAACAAAAGAGGCTAGTGACTAGTCAAGACATAAAGATATTCAATTTTATGTTACAAGAAAATCAAATTAAAAGCATAATGCAATAATATCATTAAAAACCCCAAAGAATGGCTAAAATGAAAAAGAGAATACCAAGTTTAATAAGGATTTGAAACTCCTAGAACTATCACACACTGCTATTGGTGTGTTAGTTGGTAATACACACTCAATAGAAATATGCACAGGTGTTCAAAGGACATGTACAAGCATTATTTATAGTAGTCAAAACTGAAGACTAGGGCTGGGGTTGCAGCTCAGTGGTAGAGCACTTGCCTAGTATGTGTGAAGCACTGGGTTCAATTCTCAGCACCACATAAATAAGTAAATAAAGATTTTATGTCCATCTACAACTAAAAATATTTTTTAAAAAAACTGAAGACAATACAAACGTGTATTAACAGTAAAATGGACAGATACATGTAAAATGTGTTATATTCACATGATGGAAAACCTGTAACAAACTACAACTAAACACAACACAAATAAATCTCACAAATTTAATATTGCCTGAAAGAAGCCAGACACAAAAAATACATACACTGTAATTACATTTACATGAAATTTTAAAAATATGCAAAACTAATCTATGGTGTTAGAAACCAGAATAGTCGTTCCCTCAGTGAATGATAGCTGAGTGGTGATAATATTCTGCTAAGTACTGATTACACTGACGACAGTGAAAATTCATTGAGCTAAACACTTCAGATTTCTATGTATCTATTATAATTTAATAAGAAGTTGCATTTTTTAAAAAGTAAATGGTATCAATTTAATGGAGAGAAAATATAAAATATAATGAAAACTGGATATATATAGTACCACATCAGAACTGAGCAAATTTGACACTGTCTACACTCTCAGGGAAACCACAAAGCCAACAAGACCTTGATCTGACCATCACAGGGAGAGTGTCATTTCACCCAGCCTCCTGAAGGGTCTTTAGTAGAATCTGACTGCTTCTCTTATCTGCTGGCTTAATTTTCAGGCAGATAGTCTCATGTCCAGATAGTATAACCAAGGAACTCCATGTAAATGGAAGAAACCCAAGGACCTAATAAAGGCACAAGGCTGGGGAGAGGTGTAATATTACTGAGCCCAGCAAGGGGAAAATTCTAATCAAGTACTGCCTCCCCAGAAAGCTGTACTAGATAGATTCCAGCAGTAAGCCAAATCACTGGATTTTCCTATAACAGAGGGAACCACACACAGGGATACTTATTCAAAGCAGTTCTCCTAAAAAGCATCCTTATCTTTCTTTCAGGACTATGAATTTAAGGCCCTTTAAGAGAGAAATAGCCTGAAGGTCAACCAACTTCCCTTCATAAGAAATTACTGAGTATCATAACAACATAAGATAGTATCTTCTATATGTGCAGAGGCAAGAAGGTTTCAGAGCAGAATCAGATATATTCCACACTCAAAATTAAACAAGGTAGTAACTGATCAGCGGCCTGATAAATCAGAGGAATCCAGAAAGACAAGTTCATCCTCCAGGTGGAATGACAGGAATAAGGAATAAGCAGCATTTAAACTGGGTCTCAAAGGATGGAGAGAATTTTAAGGGCAAGAGAGAAGAACAAGAAGAGTAGTCAGATAGCCAGGCAAAGACAAAATGATGAGAGCCAAACCAGAGAGTGGAAAGCACAGACAAGGAACGTGCATTTAAAATTTATCTACTATGTGCCAGGCACTCTGCTAGATGCTTTTTATATCATTAATTGATGAGGCTCAGAAAAGTTAGGTACATCCAGGACTTAAATTCAGTTCCAATTCCAGATCTTTCTAGTATGAATAGCAAGTAAGCAGTGCAAGATAAAACTGAAGAGGTTAAACTAAGTTCAGGACCCACAAAGCCCTTAACATAGTAGTGAATGGGGACCAAAGAAGGTGTTTTTTCGTTTTTGTTATATACTTTTAGTTGTAGGTGGACACAATACCTTTATCTTATTTTTATGTGGTGCTAAAGATTGAACCCAGTGCCTTACTCCTGCTAGGTGAGTGCTCTACCACTGAGCAACAACCCCAGCCCCTGAAGGTGTTTTTTGTAGGACAGTCACAAAATCTTATCTGGTAACCTACTCAAGAAAGACTTGTGAATAAAGGTTAGAATAGATGACCAACAACTTGCAGAAGAAAGAGGCCAAATGGAAATATAGGAACTGCAGAGAGTTCAAGGGCTGGATCAAGATTTTAGTACTATAACTTATAAACAAGAGGTGATAACCTAAGCAATTGGAATGAATGGGAGTATCAACAGAATGTAAAGGCAGAGGACAGAATGCCAGAGAATACCAGACATTCCTGATAAGACAAAGAAATGAGAGATAGGAGAAAACATCCAGAAGTCAAGGGAAGAAGAAAACTAGAATGTAGCTCAGTGGTAAAGCACTCGCCTAGCATGCGTAAGGCCCTGAATTCAATCCTCAGGAACACACACACACACACACACACACACACACACATACATACACACAATTGTAGTAACGTATTCCAGGAGGGGGAAATCTAAAAATGTTTGAAGCTTGAAAGGTATATGAATTACCAAAGATAACAGAACCGGATGGGAGCAAGAGCACAGAGCTGCTGAGCAAATGGAATAAGAGAAAAGTGCTAACAGAGACATACATAGTCATTTCTTTTCTAAAAGAGAAAAAAAAGGGAAGACAGAAACCTCTTAAAAAGTCCACATCATTATCAGGTAACAGAACATTAGCAGAACCACCATATCTTTGCTTGGGCTGCACAATGTCCTAATAAACTACACACTCCTAAGGACAGGAATCTCAACTGACCCATCTGTGTATCTGGCCATCTGAGCCTGGCAGAAAGATCAGCACACAAGGTCCCCAGTAAGTATTACTGGGAGGGACTGTGAGCAGGTAAATAAAATCTAGGATGACCCAATAGCTCATATAGGCTGATATTTCTCTCATAAGAGGAATACTAACATGGGACACCTTTGGCAGAAATCAAAACTCTCCATCAACTCCACCAAAAATCCCCCAGGGAGCTATCCCAAGAAGTGTCCTATCATAATTATCACTGTCCCAAGAGAACTGTACCATACACTGGCGTCTTCCCTGGCAGGATGACGATAATGAGCTGCAGCCCTGAGTAGGTGTTCTTGAGATGCCGGAACATGGGCTCCACGCTGTCAGCCCCTTGTGCGTATTTGCAGAAACAAGGCTGACCCTGGATGGGCATCCCTGCATCCTTGGAAATCTTCCGCAGCTGGTCTGTGAAGTTCCTGTAGCACAAGCACGATTGTGATAGGAGCCAGTAAGTCCCACTTTAAAACTCAAATGAATGTCTCCATCTTAGGTGCTAAGCACTTATTAAGGCACATGAATGAGACATGAGCAGATAGTGGAAAAAAAATACATTAATGGTTGAATAGGACAAGACAGAGCTTGCCAAGTGTGCAACAGAGAGAACACCAAGGAAGTGGAGAAAGCCCCAGAGAAAGGACCTGTAGGTATTCCCAGGGCTCCTACCTTGTCCCTGATTCAAGCAGCTGAAAGCTGTGCTTCATTACATATGCAAAGAAATAGGCAGATGTCTAACTGTAAGGCCTTTTGCTCAAAATAAATGAGGTTCCAAAATGATGGGAGCTCAAGAGATGCTCAGTAAAAACAAGCTTCCTCCTCCCCTACTGGTTCTTTGATACCTTGAGCTAATTAAACAAGCTTCTTTCCTTTAGTTTAGGGCTTTACCTTGGGAAAGGAAAACAAAGTTGGTTGACAGGGTACACATGCAATATAGTTAAAAAAAAAAAAAAATCAACCTACAAAAATAAACTGATAGACTGAAACAGGCAGCAGGGAATTTAATTTTTTTAAAATCTTTAAACATGGGCTGGCATTGTGGCTCAGGGGGAGCACGCTCGCCTAGCAAGCGCGAGGCCCTAGGTTGATCCTCAGCACCACATACAAACAAATAAAGGAGTTGTGTCCAACTACAACTAAAAAAATAAATAAATAAATGTATTTTAAAAAATTCTTGGGGGCTGGGGATGTGGCTCAAGCGGTAGTGCGATTGCCTGGCATGCGTGCGGCCCAGGTTCGATCCTCAGCACCATATACAAACAAAGATGTTGTGTCCGTCAATAACTAAAAAATAAATATTAAAAAATTCTCTCTCTCTCTCTCTCTCTCTCTCCCCCCCACCTCCCTCTCTCTTTAAAAAAAATAAAAATAAAAATTCTTAAAAAAAAAAAAAAAATCTTTAAACACACTCAGGCTGGGGTTGTGGCTCAGTGGTAGAGCAGTTGCCTGGCATGTGTGAGGCACTGGGTTCAATTCTCAGAACCACATAAAAATAAATAAACCTTTATTGTGTCCATTTACAAATAAAAAATAAAAACCAAAAAAAAAAAAACTAACAAATTTTTAAAAATTAATCAAACACACTCAGTGTTAGAGTGCTTGCCTAGCATGTGAAAGGCCTTGGGTTTAATCCACAGCATCACAAAAATGCAATAATGTACAAATAAAGAACAAAAATAGTTGTTTAGATGCCACATCAGAAGGGAGGAATGGGACTAGAATGAAGGATATAAAGAAATGCCAAATTTATTTATATTTACTTTTGAAAAAAGGATAAGGTAACTGACAAAACTCTGGATAATGGATATATGAAAGGTATATTATCCTCTACATTTATTATTTAATTTTTTTTTCAAAAGAAATGTTAGAATAAAAAAAAAATAACCTAAGCATTGTCTCCTGAAAACAAGAGGTAGGGCTCTCATAGGTCCACTAACATCATTTCTTCCATTTCTCTGCCTTGCACACAACTTGCTGTAACTAACAAAAATGCCAATGAGTTACCAAACTTCATTAATAGTGAGTCCCTACTTCAAGGGAAGGGGTATTCCCAATCTTCTCTAAATAGCAGACCACATTTGGGATACTGTACCCAGTGCTAGGGACCAAAAAGTACTAAGAAACATCTAGGAGGGGGAAGGTTTTGAAACTGACTCAACAGTAATAGAGTCTCCTTAGCCAGAAGAAAAATCCTGAGGGTTCAAAGAACTTCCTTATCGGGCTGAGGATGCGGCTCAAGTGGTAGCGCGCTTGCCTAGCATGCATGAGGCATTGGGTTCGATTCTCAGCACCACATAAAAATATAATAAAGATGTTGTGTCCACCTAAAACTAAAAAATAAATATTAAAAAAAAAAGAACTTCCTTATCCACTCCAATTACCAATTTCTCCTACTTCACTTCATTTCTTCCCCCATTCTCAAATGAAAAGGGGGCTCTTTCTCTGTGCTTCTGAATCCCACTGCCTCCTCCACATTTGGAGACATTGTTCTGTTTACTTTCTATTTTCTCTATTTTCAGCCTCTGCTTAGTACGCACATTTTCCCTGGACAATCTCACCCAGCGCCATTGCTGAAGACTCAGAAGTCTTTACCTTTAATTCAGAATCACACATATAATGGGGTGTCACTGATCCAGATGCACATATCACATTCTCACCCCCTATACCTAGGGGGTCACTGAGAGAGGAAAATGCCCAATGAAATTGACCCCTTCCAACTCTGAGATTGTAGTTTTACCAATTCCTGATGTCTCAAAATGATCCAAACAATAGACTGTCCCCCCCCACACACACACACAAACACACACAAACAAAAAAAATTAGACAATGAAAGAACATGGAAGTAAGAGAGAAGTATACAGAGAATAGAGCTACCAATGAAATGATCAGGCTCAAAGGAAAAAAATTGGGAGCCCTTCTAATACTGCTAAGGGCCAACCCTCCAATGCTAGGCCAAGTGCAAGAGCAGCTTATCCCAAATGGAGCTAAATCCAAAGAACCCAAGAAAGGGGACCCTCCCCCCAAAAAAAAATCTATTTAAGAGAAACCATAATTATGACAGCGGTGGTTGTTTATCTGGAAATGGTAAGGAGAGTGCAGAAGAGCAAGGGCAGGGTCTAGAGTCAGTGGATTTATTGGGAACTGCTAGAACTAATTCTTATGAAGACTCCAAGACCATCTGAACCCACAAGGGCACATGTCTCCATTAACTTCATCACAACCCCAAATGACCAGCTCCACTGACTCTAATTCATACCCAGAGTACACTGACCCCATTCCACATCCAGAGAGCCACCACATCAAGATAGCAAAAGGTGGGGATGGTGACACAAAATCCCAGCAACTCAGGAGGCTGAGGCATGAGCAGCACAAGTTTGAGGCCAGTCTCAGCAACTTAGTGAGACTTGGTCTTAAAATAAAAATAAAATTAAGAAGGACTCAAAAATAAAAATAATGGTGGTAGCACATGCCTGTAATCCCAGCAATTCAGGAGGCTAAAGCAGGAGGATAGCAAGTTCAAGGCCAGCCTTGGCAACTTAGTGAGATCCTGTCTCAAAATAAAAAAAATACAAGGGACTGGGGTTGTAGTTCAGTGGTAGAGCCCCCCTGGGTTCAATTCCCAGTATCACAAAAATAAGTAAATAAAATTTAAAACAAAAAAGTGTTGGGGATGTAGCTCAGCTGTAGAACACCCTGGGTTCAATCCCCCAGTACCATAAATACATTTCCCCTTCTCTTCTCAATCTCTCTCTCTCTCACTCTGTGTCACTCACTGATACATACACACACACACATATACACACACACACACACACACACACTCACACCATAGCATAAATCTCTGAACAGTACACTTAAGTATGAGTTTTGTGGGATTTTTTAAAAACATACCTCAATAAAAGTTTTTTTGTTTAAAAACAAAGGATTGTAGAGAAAGGGTCAGTGACTTCACTTATTCATTCATTCACTGAAGTCATTATTCCCCTAGCTTGTTTCCTTAAGCCATTCAGCTATTTCACTTTCCCCATAGCTGCCATCTACTCCAAGTCACTCAGCCATCCTTACTAGTCACATTCACCTAATTCAGGTCACTTGGACCTGACAGAACAAATTCTGTGGATAGGAGAGGAGAGCTCACCTCTGAGCTAACGAAGCTGCTTGTTATGTTTGTTTGTTTGTTTCCAACTAGCAACGTAAGTTTTGAAGCTCAGATCTGATTTGATCCCAACTCTGACACTTTCTTGATGTGCAAACTTTGGACAAGTTACTTATTAACCTCTCTGAGCTACAGTCTCCTGAAACTGGAAATAGCACTACCTATTCACTATGAAGATGAAATGGGAGAACATAAATTAGGTATTTAAATAAAATGTGTCATAAACATTATAGTTATCACTACCACTACTTATTACCAATGATAATAATTGCGACAACAAAATAATTAAACTCTCCCTTAGGAGACTCATATCCTAAAATCATCATCTCTGGTACAGACACGGCTCCTTATTAAAGTCTCCTAACCACAGATGGACAAAAAAGGAAAAGGAAGAAGTCTCAGCCAGAAAGGACAAGGCAGGCAGAGACAAGACAGAAAGAACAGACTATAGATCCATCTTGATCCCTGGGCAGCAGGGAGCAGTAGCTCTGGGTTTCTTCCCACCCTTTCAACCCCACATACCAACCCTCCTTACTTGAGCACCTCTTCTCGACACTGTTTTTGGGGTGCGAAGCAGGCGATGGCCCAGACTTTGATCTCAATCCCATTGTAGAACTGTTTCCCCCGCATGTCCCAAACACCTTGATTGGGTGTGGCAATGGCCCGGTTCTGCGAATAGGCAGAGGGGGCGCCCAGGTGAGCCTCAGTAGAACCAAGTGGGTAGGGACCAAAAGCCCCTGGTTAAACAACCCAGCCACCCACATATGCCCCAGAGATGTTGTGTGGCCCTGACCCTGCTCACCCGGCCGCCGTACTGCAAGATGGGCGCCGGCAGCACTCGCCCCGTCACCTCCGTCATGTCATCTTTCACTTTGATTCCAAATTCCTGGATGTAGGGATCTAGGTTGTAGCTGGCATTCTTCATCTGCAGGCAAAGAAGGACATCTTAGGAGAATAGCAGCTTGGTAATACCGTAACTCACCCTCTGGGTCCCAAGGAGAGAGCCCTGAAGAGAAGCTGAAGTTGGCAAGAAATAGCCCTAAAAGGTAAGGTGGGAGGAGGAATAAAAAATGAAGGAAGCAGCAGTGGACAACAGTAAAGTTATCTGGAGGGGAAAATCAAAATAGCTAAAGTGTCAAGAAGCAAGAACAGCCCTGTGGAGTCCCCGGCACCAAATCCAAACTTGGGTTCTCTTGAAGGAGGGTCTTTTGGGGCATTAAAACATCTATGCTACCAAGGGTCCCAATAACTGAGTAAATGAGCATGCATTTCTCTGCAGCCCCACTGACCAGGCGACTTATCTCCTCCTGTCTGTCTGGGGCTGACCTAGCTGTAGCCTTTATCATGGTTGAAGTCTGGTTGTCAGTCAGCTTCTTTATGCAGCGCTGCCCAGCCACAATGTTACAGACCTGAGGAAATGAAAAGGACAGGCAGCTCTGGCTTGAGTTCAATCCACCCCATAAGAGACCTTCACTGTCAACCAGGGGAAGAATCTCTTGTACATACATGTATTCTCCTCTTGAGTTTTACTTGATATATAAGTTACAAAATATTCACATTCAAAACAAAAAATAATACTATTATGTGATTAGAATCTTGGGATCCAGACTCAGAGCTCAGGTCTGTTAAATGAGAACAATATCAATCTGATAGGGCTGTATGGAGAGGAAATAAAGGATTTAAAGGACTGAGCACATTTCTAGGGCACATTAAACCCTCAATAAACTATAACATAGAGCTCTTCTGAATACTGAAACTCAAACAAATTAATTCTTACAGCAGTCTCCACTAGTGGCAGGAAGTGAGTTGTTCCATCCTACAACAATTGAGGAGGACTACATATGGGTTTTAAACTCTTGAGCCCCCAGACTACAGAAATCACTGTCAGCCAACGGTGTCCACCATTGTTTGAGGAACATCCTGCTACGTGATTCATCTGTTCTGGCTCCAAGAGAAAATGATAAAGACAAAAAAAAAAAAAACGTCTAGTGATGTATAAGACTGCCACTTCCCAATATATTCAGGATGCTGTGAGCGGGAAGGTTTATAGCAGAATAAAGGGTAAGTAGGTTTTGAGAGACTTGGGTTTAAAGTCCAGTTTTGCATTTCTAAGTGATGTTACCTTTGGCAGGTCCCTTAACCTGAGACTCAGCTTCTACAATCTTAGACATGGGGAAAAACACTGTTTCATAATGTTGTTGTAAATATTTAGATGAGATGAAATGTATAACACGCTCCCTAAGACCAACATGATATACATGCTGGTTCTCATTCTAATTCCCAGAGTTCATGCTAAAAATGGGAGGGAAAACCAAACCAAGGTCACCTGCTTTTAAGTTCCATATTTTAACAAACACACAATCTCAGCAATTTAATGGACATCCAGCATTGTTAAAATTTATGCGGTTGCTCTCTTAAAGATGTTTTAAAGTTGTAGCACTCTCCATTGTTTCCAGTGCTATAGAATTAACACTAGCAAAAAACTAACGCAGGAAAGAAACCAGAACCATTGCTAATGAGAACGCAAAATGATACAATCATTATGGAAAATGGTATGGTGATTCAAGAAATTTAACACAGGGCTGGGGATATAGCTCAGTCAGTATACTGCTTGCTTCGCACACACAAGGCCCTGGGTTCAATCACTAGCAGAAAGAAAGAAAAGAAGAACAAAGAAAGAAAAGGAAGGAAGGAAGGAATTAAACACAGAATTACCATGTGAACCAGCAATTCTACTTCTGGGTGCGTACTCATAAGAAGTGAAAGCAGAGACATGATTAAGTATTTGTGCACCTTTTTCACAGCAGCTTTACTCACAGTGGCCAAAATGTAGAGGTAACTCAAGTGTCCATCAATGGATGAACAGATAAAATGTGGCATACACAAAGGAATATTATTCAACCATAAAGCAGAGGAAATTCTAACATGCTACAACATAAACCTTAAAGACATTGTGTTACGTGAAATAAGCCAATAAGAGAACAAATATTATGATTCAACTTATATAAGGTTTCTTGAGTAGTCAAATTCATAGATGCAGAAAGCACAATGGTGGTTTCCAGAGCTAAAGGGACAGGGCAATGGAGAGTTATTAAACAGGTACAGTTTCAGTTTAGGATGATGAAAAATTTCTGGAGATAGAGAATAATGACAGTTTTACAATAATGTATATATATTTAATGCTATGAAACTCTAAACTCAATAGTTAAAATAGCAAATTTTATATTATATATATTTTACCACAATTTGAAATAGAAAAATGAAAGCAGAAATGAATTTTGATTTGAACATTTAAATTGGAGGCACTGGGCTATTACTAGTTTCTAGCTGTGGAATTCAAATAATACATGTTGTTTTTCTTTTACTTAAAATCTTCCAGAGCTGGGGCTGAGACTGTGGCTCAGTGGCAGAGCATGTAATGAGGCACTGGGTTCAATCCTCAGCATCACATAAAAATAAATAAATAAAATAAAGGTATTGTGTCCATATACAACTAAAAAATACATTAAGAAAAAAAAAAATCTTCCAGGGCTAAAGATGTAGCTCAGTGGCTGAGCATTTGTCTAGTATGCACAAGGCCCTGAGTTTGATACCCATCCTGCAAAAACAAACAAACAACTTTCCAATTGATTCCTATTCTAATTAGAATAAAATTCCACTAACCAGAAATTAGAACCCTTACTCACAGGATTCTAAAACGACACAGCCATATTGGAAACACTTGGCAGCTCAAGATGTTAAACACAGTTATAAATGATTTCACTCTTTAAATACATACCCAAGAGAAACAAAAACATGTGTTCACACACAAAAACATATATAAGAATGTTCACAGCACTCTTATGTATAATAGTCAAAAAGTGGAAACAACCCAATGTCCATCAACTGAAGGAGAAACAAAATGTGACATGTGACACATATCCACGCAATGGAACAACACAGATGAACCTTGAAAATCACAAGCTGAATATTGAAACAATTATGCTAAATAAAAGAAATCATTCACAAAAGGCCACATATTGTATGATTCTATTTAAGCGATATGTTCAGAGGAGGCATATCCAGGGACAGAAAATACAGTAGTGGTTACCAGCGGCTGTTGGGGAAAAAAAAAGAATAGTGCATGACTGCTAATGAGTGTGCACTTTCTTCTGGGGGTAAAGAAAATGGCTGGAATTAGTAAAAAGTTGCATAACTCTGTGAATACACTGAAACCACCCAATTGTACATTTTAAGAAGATGCATTTTATGGTATGTTAATCATATCTTGATGAAGCTATTCTTAAAAAAAAAAAATCCCCCTTGGCCACAATATCTTATATGATTTGACTTTGCACCTCTCTCCAGCATCATCTCCTATTACATCATATAACACATTCCTACCACTATCGCCTTCTATCTGGCCCTCAAAAGAGAACCAAACTCCACCTTCCTTTAGAGCCTTTGCACTTGCTAGTCCTCTTGCCTTGAAAGCCCCACCCTCAGGCTGTTACAAGGTTGGTAAGCATAATTTTGGACTTAGTTCAATAGTTCCTAAAAAAGGCTTTCCCTGACAACAACAACTAAAGTAGTTTCCTAACCCCTCACACCCTTACTTCTCTGCCCTTAACTTGCTTTATTATCCTTTTTCCGCTCCTTGGTGCTGGGGATTGAATCCAAGGGTGCTTTACCAACAGTCCTTTACGTTTTATTTTACTTTGAAACAGGTTCTAAGATGCTGAGGCTGGCTTCAAACACATTTTTGGTTTTGTTTTTGTTTTTTTTCTGGATGATGCCAGATGTAAGATTTTTTTTAATTCTTTTTTAGTTGCTGATGGACCTTCATTTAATTTATTATTTATTTATATGCGGTACTGAGAATTGAATCCAGTGCCTCACACATGCTAGGCAAGCATTCTACCACTGAGCTACAACCCTAGTCCACCAGATGTAAGATTTTTTTTTTCTTTTTTCTTTTTTTAATATTTATTTTTCAGTTTTTGGCAGACACAACATCCTTGTTTGTATGTGGTGCTGAGGATCGAACCCTGGCCACACGCATGCCAGGCGAGCGCGCTACCGCTTGAGCCACATCCCCAGCCCTTTTTCTTTTTTTTTAATTGTGGGTGCTGAGGATCAAACCCAGGACCTCATGCATGCTATGTAAACACTCTACCACTGAACCACATCCCCATCCCTGGTCTCAAACTTGTGATCCTCCTGCCTTGGCCTCCCTAGTCTCTGGGAGTACAGGCATTCATCACTGAGCCCACCTAACTTGTTTTATTATTTTTATACCACTTACTACCATCTGAAACTATCTTATTTGTTTATCAACTTATTATTCTTCCCCTTTAAGAATGTAAGTTCCATGACAGCAGGGACATTGTCTATCTTGTTAATCTCTATATTCATAGGATATAAATGAGTACACAACACATAGTAAGAACTCAATAAATTACTTGTTATACAACAACAAGAAAAAACCAAGATATAAATCATTAAAATTATTCACCTTGAAAACTATAGTTTAAACAGAAATAATGTTAATTTGCTAGTAAATTTCAGCTTACAGTACATTATCACCCACTATCAATTTAGCTGAAACTATCCCTAAAGATCTCTATTTATTCTTCAAAGAACATAATGCTTTCAACCTACTTTCTGTGCATCACCAGCTATTAACCAAGTCAGAATTATGGGCTTTGGCTTCTCTTTCCCCTTCAGTCTCATTTCCAGGGGTTAGTTCCAGAATCTTAGAAACTCACAAAAGCTTGAGCTTTGGTCTGAGCTATCTGACTCCAGCTACTAGGATGAAAAATAGTCTAGGGGAGTTGGGTTTGTGGCTCAATGATACAGTGCTTGCCTAGCACAGATGAGGCACTGGGTTCAATCCTCAGCACCACATAAAAATGAAATAAAGGGCCACGCATGGTGGTGCATGCCTATAATCCCAGCGGCTTGGGAGGCTGAGGTATGAGGATCCAGAGTTCAAACCCAGCCTCAGCAAAAGCAAGGCACTAAGCAACTCAGTGAGACCCTGTCTCTAAATAAAATTCAAAATAGGGCTGGGATGTGGCGCAGTGGTCAAGTGCCCCTGAGTTCAATCCCCAGTACCAAAAAAAAAAAAAAAAAAAAAGAAAAGAAATAAAGATACTATGTCCACCTACAACTAAAAAATAAATGAAAACCAAAAATAGTCTAGGGTACTGCTTCCCAACTTTAATATAATTATAAATCCTCTCTGGATGTTAAAAGGCAGATTCTGACTCAGTACTATGGAAAGAGATTCTGTATTTTAAATAAACTTTCAAGTGATGCCTATCCTGTTGGTGTACGGACCTTACTTTCTGAGTAATATTGGACTAAACAATGAAGCCATCTGCAGAAGTTTTCCAGTAGACATTCTGTCTAGCACATACTAAACCAAATACAGCCCAGGGATTCTGCACTGTATTCTATGACTTAAATAGCATTACTATTTTTTCTTTAATTGCAGGATTTCAATCGTCTACCAAAGTATAAAAGTATGACAAATCTTGGGGCTCACTGTTTTTCAAAAGGAACACATTAACCACCAGGGAAACAGAATTTAGTACTATTCATTTCCATTTTATTTAGAATAATGCACATTTGTAGAATAAGGTACACTAGGTCAAGAAGGATCTCTCCAGAGAACAGGAAAAAAGAAATTAAGATAACAGGAGCTGGGATTATACCTCAGTGACAGAGTGCTTACTTAGCACTTGTGAGGCACTGGGTTCAATCCTCAGCACCATATAAAAATAATATAATAAAATAAAGGTATTGTGTTCATCTACAACTTAAAAAAATGAAAGATAACATGAGTATCTGAAAATCTGTTTGAATGCTGATTACTCTCTCTTTTTTTTTTTTTTTTTTGAATGCACTTTACCACTAAGCTACATCTCCATCTCAGGCCTTTTTTAACTTTTAAGATAGGGTCTCACTAAATTACTTATGAACTCACTAAGTTGCTCAAGCTGACCTTGAACTTGTGATACTCCTGCCTTAGCCTCCTGAGCCACTGGGATTACAGGCATGTCCCACTGTGCCCAACTGAACTAATTACTTATTAAACAGTAAATATAGGTTGCCCTTCTGCCTAGCCTCTTAAAAGAACACAAGGGTAGAACCAGGGATAAGAAAAGAATTCAGCAGGTAAGACAAAGGCCTCTATTTCACAGTCCTATCTCATGCCTTCTTCACCTTGTCAATTTTCTAAACTTGAAAATGAGGATGAGAGATTATGAATGAATCAACAGACCTCTGATAATCAGTGTTCTGGTACAATGTCTGTTCCCTAGCCCAGCCATTATTTGGCAGCCTTACCTCTAGGGGCAAATAGGTATGCTTTTGTTCTTGGCCAACTTGCAGGCAAGGTAGGTGGGGATACTTGAGCTGAAGGTTGTATTTCTGCTTGAAATATTGTGCCACTGTGCACTCTACAGTCTGTCCACTTTCCAGCTGCAAGGGAAACCTGTTTGAAGGAAGGAAAGGAGGTATCATAATCCAGCATTCAATCCCACCTCTGTAGACCCACAACCATGAAAAGTTTCAGAAACTGCTTCATCCTACCCAACCTCTTTGAGCACTGCCACTCTTGGGAAAACAGACAATGCTGGGCTCCATGGCAAAAGCCAAAGATTTGAAGGTTATGATCCACCTCAGTCAGGAGCATATCTGATCGTTACATATTTCTAACATTGAACATAAAGCCTGACACAAAGTAGATAGAGTCCACCATAGCTTTCAGTCAAGAAAGGAACTGGAATACAGTATAGTTTTCCCAAGGATAAGCCCAGGAGCCTGGACTGCTTTCTTCAGGAAGAAGAATAAATTGAGAGAGATTCTAATATTTATGGAACAATAACTAGAATTAATGGAATATGCCTGCTCTATAGTAAAGGCCCAAGAAAGAAAGAAGATCAAGAAGGTAAAAATTACTATACAGACAATCAATGGATCTGGGAAGGCTGGAGGAGGGATGCCAAATTCCCACAGCTTATCTTCAAAAACAGGGCAGTCTAAGGCTCATTCTCAGGGTCAGTGGGAGAAGGGGACTCAGGGGAGTGTTTGAAATTTCAACCCTCTTCCACCAGTTGAGTATGACTAAGCAACCCTGCCAACTTACGTCTGATGGCTAGCAGGGCGGCGGGTAACATTACACACACGGTATTTCCTCTTCATCTGTCCACAATGGGTCACTTCCACCTTCAGGCCTGAGATACACACACTACTTGTCAGAGTTGGAATAGGTTGCTCATGTGCCCAGGCTTGGCCTCTCCCAAGGGAATTTCCTCTTAAGACTAAAGAAAAAGGGGCACTGTTTTCCTTCCCCACCTGGCTGAGTCCTCACCCTTAATTTCCTTGGTAAAGCGAACACGCTGAGAGTCCGTGAGGGGCTTGGGCTGCTCGTCTATGTTCCTGATGTCCAACACCTCACACATGAACTCAATCACTGGCTGTGCCTTGTAGAAGGCAGTGGCTGAGACTGTGGGGACAGGGTAGAGATAGCTCAGCTCAGGTTCTGTCTTCTAGACTAAGTGCAAGCATTGTAATGAATACCCTCTTCCTTATAGGGTACTGGGATGGGGGACAAAGGGGTGCCAGGGCTATAGGAATTAGACTAGGAGTGTGGTTGCAGAGCTGGGAGGGATGAGGCTGGGAGTATGATGACTGGACTGGGGGTGCCCCTGGCTCCATAGCTCTCCCCACTCACCATCAATGTTGAGCATCATCTTCCACATGGCAGGGCGCACAGACTGGTGAAAGCCGAACCAGACCTCGCGCCCACCCCCCAGCGGGTGGTAGTAGCCCTCAGGCGGTGAGAAGAAGGAGCGGCCCACAGGGGTGTACCTGGCAGGGACAGGCAGAGAACTGGTCCCTCGGGCACAGGCCCCCACCCTGTGAGGCATCCTGGGCACGGAGGAGCCCTGGCCTGGAAGGCAGGACACCAGGGCTTTAATGCCAGCTCTGATCCTTTACTAGTTGTATGACTGACCTTGTGCAAGTCTCTACCTTTTCTCTGCCCTGCAGGGACAGATGGGGTGAGACCCAAAGATATCTAAGGACAGGGTTGGGATTTAAACCACCTAAATGTATATGCACACTTGCCTGGCACATGGTAGGATTTCAACTTTTTTTCATTGAACACTCTGGGACCTTAATATGTGCTCACTCCCCTCCTCCCTCCAAAGCAGTTCTGCCAACACTAGTAGCCCAGATATCAACTACACCCAGTACCTCATGGATGCCAGGTGCCTCATGGCCACATCCAAGGCTTGCACCGACTCCAGGGGAACAGGGATCTGGCCACTGACCAGGGCCTCATGCAGCATGCGCCAGCTCACAATGGCTAGCCACTTGATGGAGACCTTAAAAATTCGATCCTTCCCTTCCCCAGGGATTGTCACCTCAAAGTCGACCTTTAGGAGGGTGAGAGAAAGGAGTGAAGGACTGCCATCACTTTCCCACAGACCAGCATTCCTTACCTTGTCCCAATGCCCCCAAGATCTGCCAAGAATCTGCTCTTTAAGTCAACAGGGGCTCACAATAAAGACCCCAGAGTAAATCCAGCTCCTCAGTTTCCAGCTACCTTGGTTCGGTGCTTCTGTCCCTCTCAACCCAGTAGGAAGTCCTTCAGGTCTGTTTTAATTCTAATTTCAGTCTGTTTAGGGGGCAGATATATAATAGGCCAATAAACATGAGCACCTACCCATCCCTCAACCTAAAACACATTTTCTCAGCACAAAAGACTAAAAGGATCTCTGGACTTCCAGATTCCAAATGGGCTTACATGAGCTGTTCCACTCCAGACCCCTGACATAGGCCTAGCCTGACTCCCAACCTTACCCGTTCGTTGCCAATGGGCAGTGCTGTGACAGTGTAAATGTTCTTCTTTCCATCATACACGGGCTTGCGATCACCAAAGATCTGAGGCTTGAAATGCTGGACCATGTATTCCACCACTTCCCTGTGGGGGATAGGAGTAGCCTGTGGAAGCTGAGAGACTACCACTTCAAGCTTTTGGAAGTTATTCAAAGTCAGGCAATGTCCCATCAATTGTATTTACTCCTAACATCTTGCTATGGAAATGCTTCTTCAACTTCAATATTCCTATCCATCACCTGGAGGTTTACTAAAATGCATTCTGATTTAATAGGTCTAGAGTGCAGCCTGAAATTCTGCATTTCTAACATGTTCCAAGGTGATCCTGTTTCTCAAGGGCCTGAAAAAGCGGGTGTGAATGCCTTCTGAGAAGAGGAAATTTGAGGGGAAAGGACTTGATCTCAGGGTCTATCCAGAATCCAAGTGTTCCAATCTCCAATCCCAGTCTGATAAGGGAAAAAGGTAGGAAGGGAAAAAGAGATCTGAACTAGAATAGGAATAAACTGTAGAACCTCACCTCTCTCTCTCTGATGCACTTAGTCCCATTATGCTGTTTTCTCTCCACTATCATCTCTTCCTTGATTTCCCTTCTTGACCTCTGCTACTTAAATCTCATAGTGTCTATCATTCTTTCAAAATCCCAGCCCATCCAACCACCTGATCTCTCTACTTTCTAAATCAAAGCTTGCTTACTATTGTATAAAACACACCCAGAATGGTACCTTAGGAATAACTATAAACACATGGTTTCAATCCCAATTAGGCTCAGGGCTGCACAGGAATCTTCTTCATGTCCCTGATTACTTCCATCCCTCATAGACTGTCAACCCTTCTCCATTATCATCTCACTACAGAACCCACTCCTGCCTCCCATCAGAAAGCAGCTCTAGTATCTCTGAAAAGAGCAGTCAAGGCTACTCTTGAGTTCCCAGACATACACACAAACATATTTCTACATGCAAGCATCTTTTTCCCTCTCTTCCTCTCATATTTGAAATGCTTCTTCCATTTAAACATATGAAAACCTGTTCAACCTCATTCATTAATGAGATACAATTTTAAATTAGACCAAGATGTAATTATCTACTTATCAGAATGCCAAAAACAAAAACAAGCGGATATACGGATATACAAGACTGGTGCGGGTGTGGGGAACAGGCACTTTGATACAACTTACAACTTATCTTTAAAAGCTGATGCTATCTCAATAATTTAAAATGTGTTATGCCAGCAAATCCACTCCTAGGAAACTATTCTACAGATACACTCACATTTAAGTGCAAATATGTATCTACATATAATAATATTCAACAGTTTCACTTTTGTAGCAGAAGTTTAGACAACCTAAAAGTTCCTCAATAGATTAAATAAGTTAAATACAGTTGTTCAAGGAAATACCTATAGAACAATGAAAAGAATGAGGCAGATTTGCATGTATTAATTCATACTATTTTCTAAAATAGATGATTTAGTGGAAAAATAAAAGATGAAGAACAAGGTATGTAAGATACTGTATTTTCTGCATTTTTAAAAAATATTATATATGCATATATGCTTGCATATGCATAGAAAAATATCTGGAAACATACTCAAGAAAGGTAAAAATCAAGGCCTACGGGAACCAGGGTAGTAAGGAGGCATTTTTTTATTATTACTTGTTTTGTAATTCTTGAATTTTTTTATATTGTTCACATCATTTTCAAATAGTAATAAATTAATTTTAGAAAAAAAATATTACTTTTTCTATCTAAGGCTAATGCCCCAAATATATATCCTGCAATATCCTCCTACCTCAGCAAGGACATCCCACCCACATTCCTCCTGCCTGAGTTGTACCTTTTAACCTCTCCTTCTTTACCAACTCCTTCACCTCAATCTATAAACATACCCCATGCCTCATTCTTAAAAGCTCCGCATTCATTCATTTCAACAAATAATGAAATGTGCTAGGCAATCACTTGGCCCCTATGGTTTTCTCTAGCCAATACATTCCCTCCTCATTTCACTGCCAAGCTATTTGGAAAAAGCCATTTGTTCTCACTATTCCTACCATATTACCTTCCACTTATTCCTTTACTCACTGTAGCTACTGGGTTAACTAGCCCAACTACTTCACTGAAACTGCATTGGCGAATGTTACCAATTATCTCCTGATAAACAAATCCAACAGTATTTTTCAGCATTTACCTTACCTGGCATCCCTCCCTCAAAATGTCTTCTTGGATTTGGTGGTGCCATCCTCAATTAAATTTTTCTTTTACCTTTTTGGTCCCTCTTTCAAGGTTCTGAGACTCAAGAAAGCAAAGACTCATGGACTTGGTGGCAAAGATGTACATCGCTTACCGATTAACTCTGCGAGGACACTTATCCGGCTTGATGTCCACCTCGTAGTGGTAGACGTCGATCTTAGGAATGTCCACCTCAAAGTAATTGGCCAAGAGCTTGATTGGTTTCCCCACAGTGCCAATGCCAGGCCGTCGAGGTGCCTGGAATACCTGCTGCAGGGGGGGCAGGTAGGCGCCCGCAGCTATAAGACAAAAAGGCCAGTGAGGACTGAGTTTGGCAATTTCCTAATGATTCTGATCAGAGAAGACACAAGGCCTCCCGGAACAGGAACAGAAGAATATACGGGAAGCCTCTTTCCTGCTTCTTAACCTAGTGGAAGCTAGGTTAGGAAGTTCAATCATTCCCAGGCTCACTGTCTTTTTTTTTTTTTTTTTTGTCCCCCACCCTTTTCACTTTTTAGTTTTTAAACCTCTTTCAGATAGAGAAATAAATACCTTAAATACATCAAGACGATGCTTACTAAGTTCCCACTGCATGTTAAGTGAAGGGGCTAACTCTGGCTCTCAGTAACAAAACCCTTCCTTCCTTCTACTATTAAGACACTCATCTCTACCAGATATCTAGTAGACCAAGAATGTCCTATTCTCTGCCACCTGGATTCACTCCATCACACCATTCTGAACACAGATGACACTTTTTTTTCCTCCCACTCAGGCTCTAGCTAAGTTTCCCAGACTGGCCTCAAACTTGTGATCCTCCTGCCTCAGCCTCCCAAGAAGCTAAGATTACAGCTGTGTGTCACTAGGCTTGGCTACATTATCTTGATGTTCTTCTGCAATGTAGGCAGGAGAAACACCCAAAGAAGGCCAGACTGAGGGGGAAAGGACAGTATTTGAGACAAAAGTACGGCAACAAAGTGGCCAGAGTTGGGAAAAAAAGAGAAAAAGCTAAATAAATTTTGTTTGATGATTAAGCAGAGGAGAGAAGATAAAATAAGGGCTGAAGAAAAGGCCAGAACTGGAGGATGCAATAGAAAAAGGCTTGAATTTGCCAGGGAAAGGAGGGAAAGATGGAGTTGGGGGATAGAGCGGGATAGGTTAGAGTTGGCAGCTAGGGAAGGAGGAAACAAGGTTACAGTTTAGGAAACAATGAAGAAAAAACCTAAATAAAAAAGAACTAAGGGGTTGGGGTTGTGGCTCAGCGATAGACTACTCGCCTAGTACATGCAGGGAACTGGGTTCGATCCTCAGCACCACATAAAATAAGTAAAATAAAGGTATGTGTCCAGCTTCAGCTAAAAAACTTAAAAAAAAAAAAAAAAAAAAACTAAGGTGCTGGGAAGGAAAGACAGCTATTACAATGCCATGGAGGAGACACTGGCTCTTGGGAAAGAGAATATAAGATTCCCCGTGCCCCACAAATCCTTCCAAACAGAGGGTCCAGTCAGCAGAAGGAATCAATTTCAAGACAGAGGGGGCCCTTGGGAAAGGGCTAGCGCAGGGCCAGCCTGATTGCTACCCTCGGTCTTATTTTCTAGCATAGGGGGAAAGGGAGAAAAAAGAGAAACTGCCTAAGATAAGCCTTTGTCCCCAGTTACTATTGTTCTTGCCAGTAGAAGACCAGCCCAGGTGGGAGGAGAGAGGGATAAACCAGCCCAGAACTTCCCATTATCAGAGCTCTGCTTTCACAGTCAGACAGACTGGGGGGATGGGGTATATCTTCAGCTAGGAGGTCAGGAAAAGGTCAGAATCATTTGTGGGAGGGGTATACTTCCCAGAGCTAAGCTGTTGGACTCCCTCTAACCACCTGTCAAGCCCACCCCACTCTGCAGACAGGGAATTGGAGGCCCAGCCTGGAGGGAAAAGGCCTTCAGAACTCAGCTACATAGGGAACTATACACACCTGGCCACCTACCCCGGAAAGAGCTGGACAGAAATTTTACACAGGCCTACAAAGACACATAATCCTGTCACGCACATCCAAACACAACCTAGACCTTGACAGTTTACCTTTATACACATATCCCTCACCACTCTCAACAGAGTTCTTCAAAGGCAGGGTCTGTAGCTGCCTTGGTCACAGCCGAATCTCTAGTGCTGGTGTGTGCACATGTACACACAGAGATGTTCAGTATTCAGATATGAAATGAATGAATAAACATATGCACAGACACATCACAAAATCACACAAGCACACAAATACATAAATACCTGCAAATGCTCAAAAACAATCATAAATGCTGAACAGGACAAATGTGCACCCTTGTGGGTGAAAATTATAAGAGACATCTTTCCCCTTCCCCAAGTTCTTAGATTCTATTTACCTCTTTAGACTCCCAGGCCTAATGTTAGGGGCTTTGGGAGAAAGACATTGCCCTAGAGCTAGGTGCTGGGTAGAAATGACAGTGAATGGGGCAGACACTTGTCTCAAAGTCTTCTCTTTCCTAGAAATAGGACAGACAACACACCAGACTTTGCCTTTTAGAGCACCCTTCTCTCAAAGGAAGGTTTGGGAAAAATAGGGGAGCCCACACGTCCACTTCAAACCCAAACTAGGTAAGGTAGAAAGAAACAAGAACCTCTCTCCCATTCTATCCCCCTTAAAGCCTCACAACTGTACAAAGTCCCCCTCTACCCAACCCTGCCCCCAGCTTTTAGTCTAAGAAAGGGAGACACTTCCCTTCAGACTCAGACAGGGACAGACGGCCACTTTGTGATGCAGATGAGGGCCCCAGCACAGAGGACAAAGCTCAGCCAAGAGAGAAAGGGGCGGGGCCCCCTCCACACACCCCCGGGGCGAGGCCCACCCCTCCACCCCCCCACCCCTCCACACCCCCACCCCCCACACACACACCCCAGACAAAAGCAAGAAGGGAGGGGTCCTGCAAGGACACTCCCCCTCCCCCTATCCTTAACCAGCCCAGAGAAGGAAAAGTAACAGAGCTGAAAGCTCTGGCTCAGGATTCCTTCCTTGCAGTTCAGAGGCCTACGTACCTCCCAAGAAGCCAGATTGCCTATTTAAAAGACATGAACTCAAAGCTACGTTAGGTGGTAGATAAGTAAAGACTAAGAGGCAAATCTCTCCAGAAAGGATTTCCCCACAAATTAAATACCCACATGAGTATACACAAGTAATTAAATATGCACATATGAGCTTAACCATATGTTCACACTTGAACATGATTCAATTCGATTAATAAACATGTATTCTGTGTCAGGGACTATACACTAAGCAACTGCTGATTCTAAAAGTAAATCTGATACTACCTCTACCCTCAGGGAGTTCCCAGTCTAGAGCTTGTGCTTGGGACACACCTGTGCATAGAAGGCACACCTAGACATAAGTAACAATGCCTTAGTTTTGTGTATTTTTGTCCTCAGACTTTCTGGAGACACCACTCCAAATGCTGTTCTTTCAAGAGAATAAAAGTCTAGGCCTAAAAGGGAGGCAGTTATGGGGTTCCCCCATCAACAGCTTTCAGCCTGAATTTCCCAAGGCTGACTCCAGACACCAGGTTCCAGCCCCTCCCCCAGGTTTTTTCCTTTAACAGATAAAAAAGTAAAAATTTTCATCACTCTAGAGTCCATTAGAAATTCATCAGGACAAAATCATTAGCAGTCTGGAATAGGTGCCAGCTCTCAGCAATCCATCTGGACCTCAGGGACCTACTCACCTTATTCTAGTCCACAGGTTGTTGGAAATACTCTCCAGCCTAGTAAACTGAGAGGGTTTAGGGGATGGAGAGAGGGAGGAAGCAGTTTGCACTGAGGTCAGCTGCTCTCTGCAATCCACCTTAGGACCTACAGGGCTTTTTGTTTGGAGGAAACTAGTCATGAAGTACTTATAGATCACTCAATGAATGACTTAAGAGAGTTCAAGAAAGGGATGGGGTGAGGGCATTGTTAGGTCTAGTCTGAAAAAGATTTTTCCAACAGCAATTAAGTTTGCATTCCAAACAGAAATCCTACATCCATTCTCAAATCAAAAGGAAAGGTAGTGGTGAGAGATGTCCTAAAGGATTCCTGGATTCAGACTGCTTCTTGAATCACAAGGTAAAAGAGACCTAGGACATGAGAGATACAAGCAGTCCACAGCCCACCCCAAAGGACTTCTCTTCTGGGGGGAAAAAACCTTGACTCAGTTTCTCCTCTGTACTTAGCTGGAAAGAGAAAATTAAAGCTATTACCTGGGAATCACCAGGGCAATGCTATAAGCTCTCCCCTTCCCAATGATTCATTTGTATCACCCTAGCTTGGCAACCTTGGTTCTAATAACATGCCCCTGACAACTTCTGGGGAGTAGAGATGAAAAAGGAAAGATATCTATCCAAAGACAGGAGCCATGAAAATGTTATGGCATAAAAAGTGATTAACTAACTTCAGGAAACAATTCAATGGAAAAGGTCATCATCCTTGGTTTAAAAACTCCCATCTCTGTAGAATTGGACCAGAAACCTGCAAACCAGGTAGACCTGGTCCCTCAGTAACCAACATCTTTTCTGAAGCCTATCTTCAGAGAGATCCTGCCCCCAAAACATGGCTTCAGTCCCAGTCTTTCCTTATGTGGCAGAAAAAGGCATTTTGGCATTTCCTTCAAACAAGTCTTGGCAAATTGTGACCGGAGGGGCTTCAGAGCCAAATATAAGAACCCCCATGATAGAGGAGGGGACAATTTCCACTTGCACTCTGCTTGTACAACCTGAGAGAATGCACCCCATCAGCGAGCTGGGTTTTCTAAGCCAAAGAGGGCGGGGGAGGGGTTGGGGTATTCAGGCAGCCACGCCCCCACCACATCGGGCAGCCCCTTCCAGCTGCCACCTCCGCGCATGCTCCGGCGCCACCTCTCAGTCTCCCCAGCCTCCTGGGGGGGAAATCCCAGGGCTGGATCCCCACCCACCGCCCCCTGACCCTCGCCCCCGCGTCAGGCCGGGCTGAGGCGGAGCTCACAGCCCAGCTCTGGCGCCTTCTCCCAAGAGACATTAGCTTAGCCCAGCCCAACCAGGCAGAGCCCCCGCCCCCGGCATGCGGGAGCTCCTGGCCCATCTGTGTGGCCCCCCTCCTCTCCTGGACACCTGGAGCCCGCCCCCTGCCACCTGCCGGGCCTCTCTATAGGCCTCCCGGGTTCTCCAGGAGTCCTTCCATACGTTCAGGCCCTTCTCCCAGATTACTTCCCACGCCCAGGGCTGCATACAGCTTCCTTGGACAAACAGCCCCATCTCAAGGCTCTTCACATGGTTCTCCCCCGGAACTGTACATAGCCCCCTTCAAACTGGGCCCTCCATCCCATGAGAGACCCTCTTTTCACTCAGGAGCCCTCCCCTCCGTCAGGAACCATGCTCTTCACGCAGGAACCCCCTGGTCTTTGGGGCACGCACCGTTCCCCCCTCCCGGGGGCCCTTACCTGCTCCCGAGGGTCCCGCTTCCATCCCATATACCCGTGCGGAGGTCAGGCGGCCCGGAGACTGTGGACTCCAACGTGAGGGGCCTAGGTATCCCGCGCTCTCGCTGCTCGGGCTCCCGGGCCGGGCTCGGCACCCCCCCCAAGCCCGGCCGCTCGCGCCGCCGCCCCCGCAGCCTCCGTTGCCGCCGCCGCCGCGGAGCCTGCAGCAGCTCCCCCTGCGAGCGCCCGGCCAGCTGCCAGTGCGCAGGCGCGACCGCCAGGCCCAGGGGGCGGACGGGAACGAGTCAAGCGGGGCGCTCCGACGGCAACAAAGGCCAACGGAGAGGGGCGGGGGCACCGGGACCGGAGGCAGCGGCCCCTGGCGGTCACCCGTCGCCGTGCAGCCCGGCGGGAGGGCTTGGGTAGAGGCGCCCGGGAACCGCGCAACAGCGTAAGTGGGGCGGGGCGTGGCGACACCCCCTACAGCAGCCTCAGGCCCTGTCTTTTCCCCACGCAAGTCCCTCCGAACCTGCACACAGCCCCCCACCCTTCGCGCAGAGCCGCGCGCGCACTACTGGAACCCAACCTCATTCCCAGACCTTCTCACACTCCAGCACCCCATCACCCAGGGGCCCTGCCTCCCACCTCTCCTCCCAATCACCCTCATCCTTCAAGCCTTGGCTGCAAAGAGACTGCCTCCGCGAAGTCTTTCTCCGTCCCTAGTCACTGAACTCACTGACGCCGCCCTCTCTTCCAGGCCGTGTGCAGGGCGCTTAGACCACAGATATGTGAAAGACCCTGCCTACCCTGGAAGATGTCACAGTCTCAACCTAAGTGCGGCTACAGAACTCTATCTGCCGGACCCGGGAAGCACCTGCCTCCACTTTCTCATCTACAGCTCATTCCCTGTCAGTTTGCTTTTGCTCTCACAATGTCACTTAAATGATTTTTTTGTGTGTCAAAATCCAAAGAATAATTTTCAGTTATTTATCCGAAACCTGTAATACTATGCCTCTTTTTTTTTTTTTAAGACTTCTACTGGCTTCAGCATTTCCTGAAGTCCTTTTCAGTTTTTTTCAAAGGCCCCTCTTGCTTTGCTCCATTAAGCATGTGTTCACTGTGGTTCCAAACCTAGGTGTCTTGTTATTCCATTCTCCGTTCTCCCCTTGACGGTCTCATTCATTCTTATGGCCAACTATCCTTACAAATCTATTTCCAGCCACTTCTTAGATTCATAATTCCAAGTGTCTGCTGGACAGCTCCACCTGGATATTCTACTAAAATCAGATTTAAGGAGTCCAAACCAAACCCTTTAAAATCTTTCCCCACAAACATGTACTTGTCCTTTGCTTCCTGTCTCAATGAATGGAGTCTTCGCACCAGAAATGACAATTTCTCTCTGTCTTGCTCCTTTCCCCTATTAAGCTGTTCACGATATCTTGACATCTTTAACCTCATGAACTACTTTCACGTGATTCCCCTGCTGTTCTGATGGGTCCTTGTGCTGGCGCAGACCCTTATCACATCTTGCTAGAAATATCACACCTACTTCCTTGCTAATCTCACAGTGTTTGGGAGCATCCACCACCACCACCACCACCCCAACCATTTGGTTGCACTGATAGGATAGTGACAGTAAGAGATTCAACTTAAACATCACGTTCTCCTATACAAATTTGTATGTATTCTTTCATATGTATTTTTCGTGGGCACACTGATGCATGCCTATAACCTCAGCTACTTAGGAGGTTGAGGCAGAAGGATCACAGGTTTGAGACCAGTCTGAGAAATTTAGCAAAACCCTGTTTCAAAATAAAAATTTAAAAAGGAACTAGGGATGTAGCTCAGTGGCAGATTGCTTTTTGAGCAAGTACAAAGCCCTGGGTTCAATTCCCAGTATAAATAAATAAATATTGTTGGATGCTTTCTTCACACCAGATACTGGATATGGGAGCTTAAGAGATGGATCACACCCAGTCCTTACCCGTGTGGAGATTAATTTCTGACATTTATTTAGCATGCCTAACTTCTCTTCAGCAGAGGTTCTCAAATAGCAACATTCAGAGTCACCCAGAGGGCATGTTAAAACACTCATTGCGAGAACTGCCTCCATAGTTTGTAATTAGTAGACCTTGCATTAGACTCAAGAATGTGCATTTCTAACAGTTTTCCAAATGAGGATAATATTGGTGATCTAAGGACTATACTTTAGAACTACTGATTCACAGTGTAAAGTAATGTTTGAGAACAAAGATTCTAGAGCAAGATTGTCTTGGTTTCAACCTGACCCTGCCATTTACTACCTGTAACACTGGGCAGATTATTTAACCTATGTCTGTTTCCTCTTCTGTAAAATGGTGGTGATAATAGTACTTACCTCACTGGACTTTCATAAAGATCAAGAGTTAATACATAAAAGACTGTAGAACAGTGCTTGAAAGAATGAAAACAAAGTATTAACTGCTGTCATAATCATTATTTGCTTCAATTTCTAAGTTCCTTAAAGATGGGGACCATATCAGATTATTTCTGTTCCTTTTTAGTGTCTGGAACAAGCTGCGCTTGGAATGATCTGTAAATTTGGGTTTACCTGAATCAAATAGAGGGCATCAAAAAACTCACAGAATAGCAAGAACTTTGCCTTTGTATAGGAGAACTGGAAGCTCAGCATTCCATAAGAGTTTGAATTCCCCGTTCTAAATACTTAGCCTCATTACTTAAATTTGAGGAAAGAAACTAGTCACTATTCTGACCCATCTTGAAAATGACTATAAGAGTCAAGCCTGGCCCTGTTTTTAAGGGTCTTTCTGCAAAGTATCCCCATCATCAGGAATTTGATTAAGCAGTGGTAGAGTATAAGTGAAATCAATATGGGATCAAAATGGGGTTTTGTTTTTTAGGCTGACAGACTTCTTTCAGTAACACACACACACACACACTCTCTCTCTCTCTCTCTCTCTCTCTCTCTCTATATATATATATATATATATATATATATATATATATGCAGCATGCCCTTATTTTATTTATTTTTTTTAATGTGGTGCTGAGGATCAAACTCAGTGCCTCACAAATGCTAGGCAAGTGCTCTGCCACTGAGCTACAGCCCCCCCTCTTTTTAAAATATTTTTTTAGTTGTCAATGGACCTTTATTTTATTTATTTATATGTGGTGTCAAGAATCAAACCAAGTGCCTCACACATGATAGGTGAGTGCTCTACTACTAAGCCATAACCCCAGCCCCTCTTTCAGTAACTCTTGATGTATGTTCCCAGAAACTAATTGGCTCAGGCCAAGTGTGATGGCACATGCCTGTAATCCCAGCTACTTGGAAAGCTGAGGCAGGAGGATCACAGTTTCAAAGCCAGTCTGGGAGATTAAGCAAGAATTTAAAATTTAAAAAAGGCTAGGGATGTAGCTCAATGGTAAAGAACCCCTGAGTTCAATCCCTACTACCAAAAAGTAGAAAAAAGAAAGAAAGAGGAAGAGAAGGAGGAGGTAAAAGAAGAAGATAATGGCTGCATCTCAGACCATAGCTAATCCACATTACCAAAAAGCCTCTGTTTCTTCTGTGAAGATCAGAGCCCTCTCTATATACACCCAGAATTTTCTGGAGCCAAATAATAAGAATGTCCTTAAAAATATTTGTATCCCCATCTATACTTTCCTCTTTTAATATTAAAAATAGCAAAGAAACCAATATAATAGAATTAACAAAGTAAGTGGAAAGACTTGAGAAAATAAGCAAAAATCTATAGCATCATTAATACATCTCAATTCATATGCTGGTATGAGTATAACTAATTAGAAATGATAATGATAAACTATCTAACTTAGGGTTGGGGATGTGGCTCAGTGGTAGAGTACTTGCAACACATGCACAAAGCCCTGGATTTGATCACCAGCAAAACACACACACACACACACACACACACAATCTGATTTAAAATACTTAAAATAACTTCATTACATGTTTGTGGTCTATATGAGAAAATCTCCAAGAACCAATAAAAAGACTTACAAAAAACCTGAGTAACAGAGAGGCCAAGTTCCTTGATGGAAAAGTGAAATAATGTAATGTCTATTGGACTCTTGCTACTCCACCAAATTCTGAGAATGAGCATCAGGTATTTTCATTTGTTACCACGTACTGCACCTCAGAAAAACAAAGATACAAGGATCCTTAATTTTAAGGAAAGGAACTGGTCCTTTCCTCAAAGGCTTTGAGCTAGTTCTACCCCTAAGAAAAGACAATTACATAGATTAGGGTTATTCAACAAAAGTATCATGTGAGCTACATATGTAACTTTAGAATTTCTATTCGCCATATTATGAAAAGTTAAAAATTATAGCTGGCATCGTGGCACACACCTGTAATCCCAGTGACTCAGGAGGTTGGAGCAGGAGGATTGCAAGTACAAGGTCCATCTCACCAACTTTAGTGAGATCCTGCCTTGAAATAAAAAATAAAAAGGCCTAGGAATATAGCTCAGTGGTAAAACACCACCTGGGTTCAATTCCTAGTGCCAAAAAGAAAAACAAAGTAAAAAAGAAACAGGTGAAATTAATTTTAAATTTTTATTTAACCTCAAAATATTATCACTTTGATGTCATCAGTATAAAAATTATTAATATTGTTAATCATTGAAGTTTGGTGTGTTTTACAATACATCTCAATTCAGACTAGTCACATTTCAAGGGTTTAATACATATGATTATTGACCACTGTGCACAGATAATTTCAATGAAGCTTTGAGTGTAAAGACATAAGCACATAGGTGATGAGAACCGAGGAGGGATGTCTAATCTAGTTTGGGCAATCAGCATAGGTTTCCTGGAGTCCTGTGAGGATAAGCAGGAATCAGCCAGCAAAGGAAGGATGGAAGAAAGAGGTATACAAAGCAGCATTAGCATCGGATATAAGGTGAGAAACAGCACATGACAGGAACTGTCAGTATTAGCAATATTCTAGCATAAAGATGGAAGCAAGAAGCAGTGAGAAAAAAGGCTACAGAAGACTGTGACCAAATACACCCATTCTCTCCCTAGCCTAAGTCAGGGGAGGGGCAGCAAAGGCAACAGGGGGAGCTGTCCCTGGTTCTGACACCCAAAGCAGATTCACAATATAGTTCCACCCAGATTCACAGTTCACTTCCACCGAGGCTGGGACTGAACTAACCCAGAGCAAGTCTAGTTTCTAGCATCTTCTGCAGCATACATGGAAGACCCCAAACCCTAAATTTGATGTGG